GGGAACTTACCTGTTAAAAGAACTTATTTCTATGTAACTCCTGCCCATTTTTTCCCTCCAGACTAAGGAATGGTGATGAGCTCTGGTTCAGTAGCTAATAGCTTGAAGCATCTCGAGGGGCAAACAAAGAGAAATTGTTAGATTAAGTCACACGGAATGCTCTGGAGTATTCAAGAAGATGTAGGACTCTTAGATAAGCAATTAGTGGGAGCCATCCCTCTGATGTATGAGATAAATGTTAATTCTTTTCTAACTACAGACTAAGATATGCTAGTCATCCTTACATTCCTGAATTATAATGAAATGTGAGTCCTAATTAATCTTTCTTATACATTAAGAGCAAAAACAAATATTCCAGGGACAAAAACTAGGCTAGCTTTATCTATCATACAAAACCATTTAACTTCGTCAGTATTTTTTACTACATGGGAGACTGGTCAGGTTTAATTACCAAAGTGGTTAGGGTAAGGCCAATTACACGGAGTGCCTGGTTCTAGTCAAATTTTCTGTAATCAATGGAATCAAACAAGCTTTGCTAATATTGTTGTATCCATGTTTAGTAAGCTACTTTTGGCAAAATTATATAAGGTTGTAGTTTCTGCTCAATCTGTTGGCATTTAATGATGTATCTCCATAGTCACTCTAGCTGGGAGTTCAAATATTGTGACAAATATGGCCCTAATGGTAGATATCCACCTAAAGCTCAACCCAAACTTCCATCTGAAATAGCACACCCCCGTACACTCTCCCTTTACCCAGCTTTCTTTTTCTTATTGTACTTATTTTCAGAAATTGTATTACTTTATAACATAGTATTTTATAATAAAATATAGTATTTCTTTTTTGTCTGCTCCCTCATGAGAATATAAGCTCCATGTGGGCAGGGACTTGGTTTGACAGATCCTGACTGCAGTACCCATAACTATGCAGGCATGTAGTAGGTTTTCAATGGACACACATTAAATGAACAGACTTAGAGAGTGGTTTGACAAAATGGGTGGCCAATAGTAGTTTTAAATAGGGTCTATCTATTGTTCTTATACTCAGTAAGAATAAGTTCATAGAACCACTCATTTATCACAGTTTTTAGATATCAAAACTGGACTGGAATTTTGGTGTTTTAATATGGTTCTGGTCCTTGCCAACCTCTTCTTCCTTTCTTCTTCTTTTTTTTAATTTTTAAAAATGTTTTATTTATTTTTTGAGAGAGAGAGCACAAGCAGGGAAGGGGCAGGGAAAGAGGGGAACAGAGGATGCAAAGTGGGCTCTGCGCTGAGAGCAGAGAGCAGGTGCGGGGCTTGAACTCCCAAACCACCCGATCATGGCCTGAGTGGAAGTCAGACACTCAACAGACTGAGCCACCCAGGCGCCTTTTTTAATGGACTGTGCTAATTCCATCACTGTTATCCAAGAGGTTCAATGGAATAATGCTTATGTGCCTGTGCTCAAAACCCAACCTTGCTTTTTACTGTGTGACTGAAATATTCACATAGCCTCTGGCTACTCCATGTCCTCATATACAAACAGGAATAGTAAGAATTCCCTCATAGGATTATTTTGAGGATTAAAAGAGAAATAATAGATGAAAAAACGTAGACCAAGTCCTGGAATTTTGCTAACAAGAAATAATACCTGTTATTTTTATTTTGACTCTCATTTAGATTTTTGCTATTTCTGGGGTTTCTAATTTCTGTTTTACTTATTTTTAAAATTTATGTTTATTTATTTCTGAGAGAGAGACAGACTCTGAAGCAGGCTCCAGGCTATCCACTGTCAGCACAGAGCCCGACATGGGGCTCAAACTCAAGAATTGTGAGGTCATGACCTGAGGCAAAGTGAGACGCTTACCCCACTGGGCCACCCAGGTGTCCCTACTTTTCTTTAACTTCAATCATTTTCAAACACTATGTGATGTTTTTCTTGCCCTGTGTCTTGTCTTATTCCCAATTGCTTTAAAACCCTGCTTCATTTTATCTATTCTATTTGGTCTTCTTTCCCCCAGACTTCTTGCTCAGAGTTCTCTGATCATCTAGGGAAACTGCACAAGTGTCTCTCTTGCTTTTACGTTGTCATCTGTACACTGGGAACCTACTAGCACTTGTGTCACAGAGGCGTGGAGAGACACGGTAATTTATGTTAAAGACCATCAATAGCGTCATGCATAGAATTACTCGGGTGGTGATAGTGAACATTTTTTTCTTACCCACAATGTACCTTCCTCTCTTTTGCTATCTAACCTCTGGTAGATATTTTTTTAATCTCTTTTTTTTATAGGCGATAAATGTTATTTTATTTTTTTTTTACAAATAGTTTACTGTCAAATTAGTTTCCACATAACACCCAGTGCTCATCCCCCCAAGTGCCCTCCTCCATGCCCATCTCCCCTCCCCCCTAATCTCTTAATAGTCTAACAAAATTCTGTGGTACCATTTAGGACTGCTCTTGAATAGATTCTAGAATTATAAGATACAGGAGGCTAGTATGGAATGACTTCCCGGGACCAATATTGAGATTGTACAGCCTGCTTCAATTCTCTCTAGCCCTCACTCATTGTGGTTTAACTAAATCTCTTCATTGCTGTGTATTTCTGAATTTCTCAGAGAGAGAGAAGAAATTTTTTAAAAAATTTATTTAGACAAAGAGAAAAGGATGCATAGAATGTCTCCTTCTTCCCTTCTTTCCCCACTTCCTGTGGCCCCAAAAAAGACTCTTAACAGGTGCAAACATTATCCTCAGACCTACCCAGTGCTTAGACATTAACAGCTCCGCTCAACTATGCTGCCCCCCCCTCCCTCCCATCCCTAGAGGAACCAGTGGAGATGTATTGAACTTGAGAACTTCGCTGTGGCAAGATTTTAAGTTGCATGACAGATGCAACGTCACAAAGTGGCCACAGTATAAACAGAAACTGTGTGTGTGTGAGAGAGAGAGAAAAAAAGAGACAGAGACAAAGAGAGAAGAGAGAGATGGACAAACAGACCTCCTCTTAATCCTGCCCCTTCCTCAGAACTTCTCAAAGCTTTACTTCCATCCTCCACCAGTGCCATCAGGAAGAAGGTAGGCTTAGCTCTCTTTGGCTTGGTTCCTCACAAGACCCAGAGAGGTGAAGAGGTCTAACTACACTTGACTTGATTACACAAGGTTAGGGAATGTGAATCCTCTTCTAACTGGGTTTGGTTGAGTGGTAGCATTGTCTTGAATCCCCAGCACCTTTACCATATAAACCATACACACAGTAGCAGCTGCTTTCTTCTCCAGAGGAAGAAAGACTATCTCAGAAGAAATTTCTATTTTATGCACAGACTGAACTCTGCTTCACTGAGTTTATTCTGGTCTCCAACAATGCAAAACTGAACTCTTAAGAAATACTCACACATAAAAGTATTCATCACAAATGCATTCATTTGTGAAACCAACAGTATACAAAGGCTAGGCCACACGCCACAAAAAAGATCTAGATTTTGTAATGACTGTGTCAGTGACAACACACAACTATAAGTAGTCACCGAATCTTGTTTCTCAGGCTACATCCTCTAAGGCAATGGTTCTCAACTGGGGTCGATTTTGGACACCAGGGCAATGTCTGCTGATATTTTTAGTTGTCACAACTGGGGTTGGAGGGCTACTGGAATCTGGTGAGTAAAGGCCAGGGATATTGCTAAACGTCCTTCATTGCACAGAAGGGTACCAGAATTATGTCACTGCAAAAGATGGCACTTTGGCATAAGGATTATTTTGAGCTAAAGACAACTGAAAGCCAGCAGAGGCAGAAAAAGCTCTTTACTTCCCTGTAACTGCCTAAAAATAAAGTATAAATTTCCTCTTTTGTAAATGAAATTTACATTTATAAGGGAAATTTCCATTTGTAAAGATGTCTCTGTACCTGGAAGGGCACTACTCTGGGAGATAACTCTCATCATCTGAGAAACTCTTATCTGCAAAACAAGACAACCCTATTACCATACATTTCCTTCCCTCACCTTCCTATAATTTGCCTCTTCTGCCAAGAAGCCCAAAACTCTTTTTCCTTTGTTTAGCCAAAGATGGGATATAAACCTCAATCATCTGACCACCTCTTTGAGTCTCCTTCCTTTGCGAACTCTTGTGTAGGTGTATGCAATTAAATTGTTCTTCGTATTCATCTTTTATCAGTTTGATTTGCAAGCTGCAGCCACTGAATTTACAGGGAAAAAGAGTTCCTCCCCATAGCACAGGACAATCTCCCACAACAAACCACCATCTGGCCCCAGACCTAAACGGTGCCGAGGTGGAGAAACCCTGCTCTATACTGACAGCTAGAAATTGAAAGCATGAAAAATCAGCTTGGCGTTTGGGAGCTTAGTAGCTTAAGAGAAGCCAAAGTAATTCTCATCTGTGGCTATGTGTCTTGGACATATCACTCAGATCTTGGCTGTTTCAAACTGTGCTTAATCAAGTGACTCTGCAGGGTCAAACAGATGGGTTTTGGCCCTGTGTCGATCTGCCCATTACACATTAGGAGTGGCATGGTATGGCTGTGCTGGCAGGACACGGGTCTGGGTGAAATAGAAAGTTCGCTAAAACAGAAGGCCAAGTGACATCTGTGTTTTGGGTGTTAGGAAATTAGGGGATATAAAACTCGGTGTTTTGGGAGGACAGAGGTCTAAGACAGGCTGTAGGGTAGGATGAACACCACAAGGCTGGCTGAGGAGCAGGTACTGGTGCAGATCCATACTATCCTCCTGACTGCCTAGTGGGAGAGTGGATCCATCTGGCTCCTGGTGAAGCTCTGCCCAGAGCTGGGGAGCTGTGGGAGAGGACAGACCTTCTCTGTGAAATCAGCAGCTCGCCTGTGATGCTCCGTAGGAATCTCTCTAGCTCCATCATGCTCACTCCATGCTTTCCCATCCACTGGCTCTGGCACACAAGGATCAAGACCAGTCTGTACTCAGACGCCAGTGAGGTATATTTGTTGATCAGCAATAGTATTTGGTAAAGGAAATAAAGAAAAGGAATCTGTGCAGTCTTGCATACAGGAAAACCTTTAATTTGATAACCATTCATTCAACATTTATTTACGGAGTACCTCTTCTGAATAAGGTACACAAAATTCTGTTATTTTTTTTTCTAAAAATTTGTTTTAAAAAGACCAAACGGGAAGTTTATAAGTTTATGTGCTTGGATTTACAGCAGTTAACATTCAGATCCACCAGCAGAGCCACTCACTGTGTTCCATAAAGGACAGATGGGACTCTACCAGCTAATCTCCTTCCAGGTGGTGCTGACGTGGCACAAATCGCAACATTCCTCTCTGTGGGAAACAGAGACATAACGTCTATACTTTCCTCAACCTACTACAACAACGTTCTTCACAGCCTTGGTTCTTCAAAGAATTGAAGTGAACTCTTCTCTTAGAGAGTATGTGTCAATCAGTAAACTCACAACTCCGATGCAATGCTCTTATTCGGTAGCTCTGGTTCTTGTCTCTGGAAGGGCTAACCCCTGTGCAGACTGCTGGCCCCCGGGGTGCTCTGTGCCAGAGAGCTGTTTACCAGGGAGATGAATGCCTCAGCTCCAACAGTCACATCTTCAAAAAGGCCACCTGGAGAAGAAAGAAAAGCCCACGATGCTTCACTTATATAACATGATGAAATGGTTCAGTGCACGTCAAAGTCAGATTCTGGGAAATCTGGTTGATAGGGATGCATGCTGATCTACAAAAGAACACTAACTCCTGAGTTGGGGCAGACACTGCCATTTTACAGCAGGGGCCAATTACTCCTTTTTTAATGAACCGTGTAGTAATTAACATGATTCACATGCACTTTAAAGAAAAAAAATAAATAAAAGTTTTAATTGACACTAAAGTTGTACTGCCGTGAAGTAATCAAGTCTTCCTTCCCATTGGTTCAGACTGCTTTTTTTGGACTTTCTGTGAGCAGAAGTTTGAGTCCAGAAGATTCCTGGGCAAGTCCAGCTACTCACTGCCAGCCTTTCCTAAGGCCATGTTAATGCTTTTAATCACATTCAATTATATTTATTATGCTCGTCAGTAGCAACTGATCTTAAAACTTAGTGTGTAAAAAAATTCAGACAGGTCTATGCACAAAATCATTTCAGATTATTTAATGAGGCCCAGATCAAATGCATCTATCTCCCCAATACTTTTAAACAACAGAGAAACAAGTTGATCAGAAAAGTTTAAAGTTCAGAAGTGATAAATAAATTGGGAACTGTGCCAGTATCAGGAAGAACACAGACCACGATAAGAGACAAAGATGGGGAAGTGTGGGAGGTTTGGCAAGCTCATGCTTGGCCTTTTTTGGGGGAAAGAGTTAGCAACAGAACTAAAAAACATTCTACTCCTGGACAGTTGGTTCTGACGACCCCAAATGTAGTCAAAGGAGGCATGTATTTAATGATCCCTGTTAAGGGGAAAGGAAAAAGGGAGAGTCATGCAGGGCAGAAAGCATCTGCTTTATGTTGAGTAATTCAGAAGGCTGTTACTCTTCATACGGAGCTGGTGAGAAAGGCACCTGCTGCGTTTCCATATCAACTTCCTGCTGAGTTTTCTATATCAAGTTCTGCGATAAGAACGCCAAAGTTGAAGGAGCAGGCAAAGAAGAAAGGTTAAGATTCCTAAACAAAATGTAAACACAGACAATTGATACAAATCTCAAGGGCTTACTGTGAGGATTAGATGAGATAATGGTTATGAAAATACTTGTGTTCCTCTCCCTTGCCTCATGGCTGATAACAGATATCAGGAGCCCATGAATATACCAGAGGAGAAGGGGCTGTACAAGAGAGAACAGCAGGGCCCCTTAGGGGATGATCATGGAATTACAGGGGAAAGGTCACACTGCAAATAGTGTCTGTCAGGTGATACTCTGCCTCTGTAAGAATAGTTTATGGGGAAGGCCTTCCAAAAAAGACAATGCCACTATTAATATTCAGAAATAGGAAACCCAGTTGTCTCCTTTTAAGTTCAGAAAATTGCTATGTCGTGGAGTATTCCAACCAGAAACCACTCAGAATAATACCACTGATAAACATCATAAAAGTGGCTAATAACTTTAGCTCTGGAATCACACAGACCAGGTTCTCAACTTGGGGTGACTTTACCCACCAGGGGACATTTGGCAGCATCTGCAGATGTTTTGGTTATCATAAATTGGGGGATGCTGTTGGCATCCATGGAGTAAAGGCCAGGGGTATTGTTAAACATGTTCTAATACACAGGACAGCCCTCCACGAGAAATAATTATCAGCCCTAAAATGTCAATAGTGTTGATGCTGAAAAATACCAACATTATAGACACAGGATCTTAAAACTCGATCTCTATTCACTAGCTGTGTGACCTTCAACAATCTTGTTAGAAGCCTCTCTCAGCCCTTTCTCATCTGCAAAATGGGAATTATAACTGGACCTATCTTAAACTTGTACAACATTTCATAGATTATGAAGTCTATTTGGGCTGCTCTCATCCTCAGTATAACCTGTGATTTACAGAAAGCAAATGAAGAAACAGAAGTTCAGAAAAATTAAGTGACTTGTTCAGGATACAAAGCTATTAAGTGACAATAATGGGCTCAGGAAGAAATTTTGATTCCTAACCCATGCTTTTCCCACTAGAAGTTTTCAGATGAACGAGGTAAACAGCAGAGGTTTGGGGACTTTTAATCTTCATTATTGCCTCAACTATAAAAGATTTACTTATTTTTTTTTGCATGCCTGTGAATATGAACTCAGGATGGAACTACTACATAAGAGACTGAGCTGATTAAATAATGCAAAACAGAGCACCACCCCCCCCAACCAGGAAGGAAAAACTTTAAAATTTGACCTAATATGTCTTTCTTTCATCTCTAGTTTTCATAATTCTGCCTTCCAAGTACATAACGTATTTTGCAGGACTTAATAACAATAAACTGCAATCATCCTTGGGAACAGGTACTGTACAATGCATTTTAGTTTCTTTTTGTTTAAAACACTGTGAGCTAATATATTTCAAATGCTGATTTTGTGTTCTCTAGCTTTTATCTATGACAGCAAAAACTGCTCTATCTGCCATTTATTTTGAGGATAATTTTGTTTCATTACACTAAGAAAACTCTCTGTATTTCATCTTTTTAGTTTGATTCTCAAAAGTAAAAGTTTTAAGGCTTTTCAGAGTACATGAGCCCAGCTACAGCTTCAGGCTCCATTGATACACTTCTGGAACGTATAGTTACAAAAGTACGTATTATTATTTAAAAACAATGGAAGAGGGACTCTTTCCCATTGGCTGTAAGGTTTGACTTTCCCTATTCTGTGCACCTGAATTTGGACAGTTGGGAATGGGAAGAGGGAGAGGAAGTAAAGATGTCTAAAAATAATGTCTCTGCTTTGAGTCATCATCTAAAAACAATCTTCTTAAACCACAACAAACAGGGGTAGGCTGAGGTGATAGTGACCAAATTTAAGTTTAAAATGCTTTAATACATTTACATACTATGTTAAACACTTTTTAATGTTCTTTCATCTTAGTTAACAAATTTATATTATTAAATTCAATTCCTCAGCATAGATTTGAAATTTCAATCAATAAAAAATATGCTGTCAAGGCAGGCTGCACAAGATAAAATTAGCATTAAAAGAAAAGGCTATCTAAGTGCTTTGGGGTATGCTAAACAAGACAGATAGAACTGTAAAATACTGGAAAATGTGAATTTCATAGCAATTGTAAGCTTTAGAAGAAACTCTTTAGAATAAGCATAGCCATACACAAATGTCCCTTTTAAAGAGTATTGTGTGTGTGTATGTATGTGTATATATATATATATATATATATATATATAACCATCCCTTAAAATGTGTTTTTGTCTAGATATGGTTCATGTTCAAAGTTATGTTCTGAAATAGAATGTTTTTATTGCACGGAAAAGAGTTTATACTCTAAAACAGTTTGGAAAATCAAAACACATAAATGTAAATATAAAAATAGTATGAGAAAATATCAGAAAAGAGTTTATACTTTATATTCTAAAACAGTTTTAAAAGTCAAATATCATTTACAAAACAAAAAATATAAATGTAAATATAAAAATATCAGAAAATGACTCTTTCAAGCATTTATCAAATACATTTAACAGCTTAAATAACATTATGTGGATGCTGGGTGGCTCAGTCAGTTAAGCATCTGACGCTCAGGTTATGATCTCACAGCTTGTGGGGTCACGCCCGATGTCGGGGTCTATACTGACAGCTCAGAGCCAGAAGCCTGCTTTGGATTCTGTGTCTCTTACTCTCTCTGCCCTTCTCCTGCTTACACTCTGTCTCTTTTTCCTTCAAAAATAAATAAACATTAAAAAAAAAACCCATAACATTAAGTACTTTTTACTAACTCACTAATTCAACATTGATCAGTCGATAATACCTGGACTCAACTTTTTGAGTTGGATAAATAGTATAAGATTTCTCTCTCTGGGCTGGCAGGCTGGCTTCATTCATTCAATTCACTTAATCATTAAGTACTGTCTACGTGCCAGTGATTATCCCAGTCACAGACCACACTGAGAAGGCATTCTCTTCTAGTGCTAACAGGCCGGTGGGGGAGACAGCCACGGAACGAGATGATTCTAATAAGGTGGGATAAGTTTAAGATGGATGCCTACATTTGCTAGGAGAAAAAAACCCATTTTTGGGTTATGAAAGGAAGTAAGATGTCTGAGGTAGACCCTGAGAGAGGTTGTTATTACTCTAATTATGGATACTGTGTTGATGGGGGAGCCAAAAACCTGGCATGGCACAGAGTGGCAAACACTTCTTCCTGCTTAAGAATGGTGGCTTGCTAAATGAATTACTAGCAAACGGCAAGGATGGAACCAAAGACCAAGGAAACAATACAATGAGGAAGAAGATCTTCTCTCTCAAAAATGACAATAATTATGTGTGTACTCAACTGTGGACTGAAACTCTAAGGGAACATCCATGCAGCCTTTGAACTTCTGACTTTCTGCACAAAATCCATAAGAGCTTTTAGAAAATAAGAAAAAGAGAGTAAGATGGATATCTGTAAATTAATTTAAACCTTGACCTTGTATTTTCTTTAAGCCACGGATGCACTATGATAATTTACATATAAATAAAAGCCTGCTGATTTTCATCTATGTGGGAACCAGTTAGGCTAAGCATGGCTGTTTCCCAGGAGACATCTAGGTAGAAAGCAGGCAGGAAGGGTCTAGGACTAATGTCCCTTCATCTGTAGATAGAGCTGAAAACATGGACAAATTCAACAGTTACTAGATCTTGATCCTATTCACCAAAGCAAGTAAGTTCTAGACGTAAAATTCTCACTTCTTTTGGAACAAGGGGATGGTGGAGAATATTGTTGGCTTTGGATGGTGCTATTGTAACACTGTAGTGAAATGGTGGCTCTGATGAGATCACTGAAGCTTCCAGTTATATAAAGCAAAACAAGTAACTGTGCTAATGACAGCAAACCCATGGGACAAACATTTTCTATGGTGTCGGTCTTTAGGTGTTACATAAAAATATACTGCCTCAAGACATATTTGTTACAATCAATGATTCTGGGTGGGTGTTCAAATGCACAATAT